TAGTGCGCGATCCAATAGCCCACGCAGGACCACGGCATGCGAAAGTGGGTCCACACCGACTCCGAGCTGCGCCGTCTTGAAGCGACGGAGTGCCTCCTGGCGGTCGGCCGGGGTGTCGAAGCCCGCGATCAGGGAGGCCTTTGCGGCGGCCCACTCCATTTTCTCCAGGCCTCTTCGTGCTGCATCCAACACTGCCCGCGCACGACCCTTGAGGAGCGCTCGGAGGGCCGTCAACTTGCCGCGATCCGTCCGTATTCCGGCCAACTCCGCCACATCCTCGAACTCCTCCAGGAACATACGCACATCCCCATCCTAGCAGGCTGCTGGCCACGGAACCTTCATTCTGATCCTGGCGACGGCACCAATTGTTATATTCCGAAAAGGCAAAGCCGGTCGAGGAGAGTTCTTCACTGCGGAATACAGATTGAAGGTCAATGATTTTGCATGCATAACACGAAAAGCTCATCAGAAACATACCTTCGCAGCACATCGCGACACATAGGGTAATGGGTAGAGCAGGCAGTGTTTATTCTTCCCAAATATATTACTTGGTCCTTGATGGTCTTGTTCTATTTTTAATCACGAAAGTTACCGACTACTCACAAGTGAGTAGTATCTCACAACACTATAACCCTTCACTGAACTGCTTCTAGAGTTTTCATGTTCCTCATGAGTGCAAGTCTGTGAATTGTACTCTAGATACAGTCTAACGTAGGTGCTGTACATTAGCATTTGTGTTCCAATTTCCGAAAGATTTGGTGACGGGGTGCTGAATCGATTTTTCTCGTTTCGCCATTGGTTCAAGAAATTGATTTTTTTTTCGCGTTAGGATTGACCCGAGATCACTAACTTGCTCTACGACTGTTAGACGCATGGGTTGGAGGAAATAACTCTTTGAAGCTACTCCTCTTAGATGGATCAGTGGGTACCTGGTATGTTTGAGGCGTAGAATGTTCATGGTATTCCAGCTAACTACAGTGTCGGAGTCTATTTGCAGGAGGTTTCTGACCTCCTTATTCTGGAAGCTGCTCCAAATCTTGATGTCATTGGCATACAAGAGGACCTGCGACGACAAGGATTGTGATAGATCAATGATGTAAATTATGTAAATTGGAACCCCATTAGGTTTTGAGTGGAGAATTCAGAGCTATACTTGTGTGCTATAAAGTAAAGCACCATTACGCTTTCCATCGACTGAGGGTGATTGGATAATACAGTCTAGCCTGGATGGTGTACCTTTTGGGCTTCAACTAGTAGAATGTATGTGTTCCGCCAGATACATTTCCAGAAAGCGGACGTGCATGGACTCCACGGGATCCTGCCCTGCTATGAACCACAAAATCAATGAAGGGAAGGATGAAGTCCCGCATGACTGTCGTTTTAGTGCAGTGAGCAGTGTGTACTGAGCTACCCATCACGTTCGTAAGTGAACTGATTGAAAGTGTGACACAAATTGCAATGAAGAGTAAAAAACCAAGTATTCATCCTGAATAAGATACTCCGATTGGTATTTGTCAACATTCACTATGTACATGATGAACTTTGTAGTGTGCAGAGCAAATGAAACGTGAACTGAACAGCCTGAATGCCCTGGTCGGCTGTTTCTGCATCATTGGGTCGAATCAACTGTGCGAATTCATTGACTCAATTGAAGTTAGAAGACAAAACCTCAAAGGCATAGCGCAATCCTTTTACCCACTTGAACATCGGGCAGTTGATTGATGTATGTGCATTGCTGATTCAACCTAATCAGGTAGGAACGGCTGTCTAGAGAATAACTTCGTTAACCCTCATTTACATCGATTTTCGCCTCAACCAATTATTTCGAGTCAGAATAATATGAAAAGTTTAATGGATAGTGCAAGTTTAGAATTGCGGTCTGAAAACAGGACGGCCGCTCAAGGTGTCTCATAACTGTTTTACTTTTGCAATGGTAAACACGGCTACAAAGGCCACAGCGTTGTAGCCGACTGGATGGATTTGTGCGCGGGTTGTCCCAGGGGAGTTGAGTTCCCATTGTTTCGAACAACTATTATTCAGATAATCAGGATGAAAGCGATAAGACGATGCAAGATTACTCGAACCATCATAGAGTGTCACTCAGGGCAACACTACTGTCGCTTTGTCCGATCAAGAAGACTAACATAGACGAGCAGAGTTTTTATCACGTGATCTGTAACAGAAACTTTAAACGGGCAACAAACGGGATTGGCTATCCGGGGCAGGGGACTAATATTCCATAAGTTAGAGTGAATGGATAACGATCACCTGGTAAATCAACAACCGTAAAATGAAGAAAGTAACCGTATAGCTAAACTGATCCATACTGACAATTATTCTTGTATATCCCTGAACTGCTTTCAGTTGACAGTGAATTAAACTGGGCAATAATCTATCACCTAACATATAACAGAATGATCCGAAAAATGTCAGTCACACTGCTTCAGTTCACTATTCATTCATAAGGTACTCACCGTGGACCTTTGGTCGTTCACAGAACCTCAGTCGCTGTGTACTATGGAGCACCAATCAATCTGGATTTAGACTATTATTATTATTATTATTATTATTATTATTATCATTATTATTCTCTCACCTAAGTTGATTCCACTTACACATCGGCTCCGTTTTAAACCCTTTGAGTTTCATTTCTCTCACCTGAACTACAGCTAAACTTCCCGTAATCTACAAGGATAGTCAGCTACTCTTATTCTAATCCAATTGATGTGAAGCACCAAAAGTGCGCTTTTATTAGGCTTCTCTGACGATATTATTCTGCCGTAGTTAGGCTTTCGATTTATTTCCATGGTTTGATCAATCAGATTCGCATACTTCTAGAATAGTACTTTCAATTTTGCCTCAATGCGCTTGAATACAGAGCGAATTATGTTTTTACAGTCTTTGTTCATTTGAAAATTTTATTTAATTCTGATCGCATCATATGTCTACCACAATGTCTTTGGTCGGTAGACCGAGGAAGACAACTCCCTTTTGTGATCATCATTTTAAAACTTTTGGAATTTCACTCAAAGAATGTATTGTTCGAATAATTACATAGTGCAGGCTGTCGAAGATCCGCGGGAGGGGGTGAAGATATCGGTTAACTACCATGGCACTGCGCATTCGAAAATATCTATATACCGCTCGAAAAATACAAAGGCACACACGCATTGATGATAGTAGGGCACTTCAATATGTGTACACGAAACAGGAAGGAGTGTATCTCAGACATACGTCTCATTGTTTGTCGACTGTTAAAATATGTTTGGAGAATCGCAATGCTAAGCTATACTTTAGCGCGAAAAGGCACATTCGAAATGCACTATAAGTCAAAGCAATGCCAATGAAGAATAATGTGCTGCTGAACCACACGTTTATCCATCATTGTCGGTTAATTCTGATTCTTTACAAGGCAAAAATCCGCTCAAGAAGGAAACGTGAGTAGGGCACGAAGACTGGGTATGGAGTTGACTGAAGGCAGATGAGTGGTTGAAAATAGAAAGAACATTTTTACTGGAAACCAAAGGAACGGGTTTCAATCTAACAAGGAATATTGATCTGCGTAAATCACGGACAGGGGGCGAAGGCATTTAATCCAAGTTGGACTTGAGTTATAGACGTTATAGAAAAATTGGATCGGACAACGTTCGAAATTCCGTTAGGAGTGCTTCAGGTGATGACTGACTGTATGATGTGCCGAGCCCGGGGTTGTTTCATCCGTTGTCTCAATCGGTGGTTGTGCCATGCGTGTTAGGATTTGATCAAATGCCATAGTCAGACGGCCGAAAACGATCCCGGTCAGTGCCAAACCGAGTAACATATAGATCAAGGACAGGAGAGCAAAGAAAGCATCCGAACCAGGTACCAAGTCACCGAAACCCACGGTCGTGATCGTGATGAAAGCGAAATAAACTTTATCGATTGTGTTCCACTTGGTTAATCTGGGCCCGGACACATAGGCATAAACAGCTGCTCCAATCAAGAGGTATACGGTGAAAAACACTAGACACGGGAAGACCTAAAAGGAAGGTGAACATTCAAAAAGCTTTTGTGATCTGTAACATTACTTGATAATGTATCTTTCATCAAGGTGAGAAAAACAAATCTGAACTCTGTATTTGCAAAAGCAAAAACAATTTTGTGTAAATAGTTAATGGATAGAGTAAAAGGCGATCAACTGTGAACACGTGACCCTAGGCGAAAGAAAAACTGATGTCGTTTATATATAACGGTTATATGAATGTTTTGCAGGTTTCAGGTGTGTTGATCCTATTTTTTGGCTAGTCAAATGAACTTATTGCAGAAATCAGTTAATCATGCTAGTAGTTTTGTAGGGGTGGACCGCGACAGACCCCGAAAGTGTGGGTTTGCAGTTGTGCAGAATGATAGTGATGCTGTCTAGCATTAGAATTTTACAGAACTAATATGAGTGAACTGGAAGGCTCATCATCTACTATGGATAAGGACAAACGATCACTTGACAATGTGATTCAGAGAATTATCATGTGTACAAGTCTGAATGCATTCTGCAGTTACGCAAATTCTCGATTTCACCCATTTGGATTCACATCCAATAGAGGATTCGCATATTGGCGTCTGTCAGGCCGCATTCTGTAAACGGATAATTCGAGCAATAAATTGATGTACCACTCGAGCTGCTCGCCTAACTTAGGGGTATATTTATTCGTATAACTTCTGTAAGTTTACATGCTTACATCTTATGATGTTTGACTTATGTACACAAATTCTCATCTAATTTAACAACTACTTGTTCCTTATTGGTTAAGAGTTGAGCTGGGTAGGGTACAGAGGAATTCTTATCAATTTAAATACGACAGAAGGTTGATTTCGAAAGGGGGAGCTTGTGGACGGATGAAAACGACAAGAGGATATATCAAGGTGCAGTGAACGAGGAGTATTGCCTAGAATCTTACTCAAGAGTTAATATGAGTATTATTAAGTTCTGTGATTTATGAGTCAACCGAAATCAGTGATTCACGATAAATTATTCTGAAGCCCTGATTGAACAGGCGGTGAGATATCACAGGGGTGCATAGAGTAGAATCGGAAAAAGGTGGTGTCGAAATGAAAGAGGACAAAACTGACAGTGGGATCCGGAATTGCCGGAGTTTCCATAGCTGAAAGGAGAGAGGTATCATTTTCTCCATACACTTTTGTGGACCACCGGAGATTACTATCGATGGTAACAGCCAGGTGATTGACAGAGGTCACTCTAGACAGAGGATTACAGGTAAAGTTGGTAGAGTTCTTCGGATATACATGCCAAGAGATACTGAACATGCACACTAGGCACTCGGATGTGTCAAGACTAAGAACAGCTTGGTTGAAAAAATGGGATCGATTTTCAGTGAGTTAATCGAGTTCCGAAGAAGAGCAAATTTTATGACACGAAACGATATCGTTAGCATAATTTAGGATGTGTGCTGGGGGACCGAAAGATTATTAATAAAGTAAAAAAGAGAGGAAAGGCAGACATCACCTTGTTGCACAACGGAACTATTAATTGGATGAATTTTGGCTCCCATCCTTTGTCAAGACAGGGACAAAAATGGTCAGCACTGTGACTGGTGCTCCGTATCTGTCCGCGCATACACAAATATATCCTCTCTCTCTCGCTTGCTCACTGACACACAGACATTTCCATTGGATTGTGTTAGTCGGTTTTTTAATCTGCATTTGTCATGCGGATCCAACGAAAAACCTTTGCCGACTGGTGGTTCTGCACTTTACTGGCGATTCCGTACAAATCTGTTGAAACAACTGTGCAATGTTTTCAAAGTTATCACCTAATTGTACCGGTGACTAATATTGTTTCACAAAGAATTTTTAGGTAATCCTTTTTGCATTAATCATTGTCCAAAATTCACAAATTAGTATATTTTGACAGACAGATCGTGAAATGTTTCATCATGGACAGAATTTTAAAGAATAATAAAAGCAGCCCCTATTAGCGGTCTCTTTCAAAATTACTATCTCTTCAAGGCTCTAACGAGGTCGTTTTAGGAGTATAATTCATCATTATGCAACGTACGCGGAAGTTGAAACTGGAATCGGTACGACTGTACGCCTCACGCAGTCCCATCGGCACACCAGACGAATCGAGTGTCATCAGGTAGATGGCCTTGGAGAGGCGAACCAGACCGGTCGAAATGCGACTGACAAGTAAGCTGCAAATCGGTATGGCCACTAATCCATAGATGATAGTGAGCAACTTTCCAAGTAGTGTTGCGGGAAAAACGTCACCGTAACCTGCATCCAAAACAAATACTAATTAATTAATTGAATGATTTATGTACGTAGTGAAAGATGTGTAGAGTAACCCAGTTGGGAGCAATGAAATCAGTAAACACGACTTCTGCTGGATGTAATCAGTTGTGATATTGTCTTCATTTACCAAATAAAGTTATTCGTATGGAGAGTCATTAACTCGAAACCATCATCTGTACCACCCTCAGACAAAACATGTCAAATGTTCTGACATACGAGCAACATTTATCCAACACCGTTAGGGCTAATCCTTATAAGGTTATAATGAGTTCAAATAAAAGAGGAATGATGACTTCTAATATAGATAATATCGACTGAAACGTAACCCAGAAGACCCTTGAAAAAACGTAATCCGACAAGTTCATGATCTCTATTGATGTTTAGTGATGCACGAAAACGCAGCCTTGTTTTCGCTTCAGTTCAGAATGTATCTTTTATTCTCTTTCTTCAATACTTCTTCACCATAAAAAAGTTTAGTATAGGTTGATATTGGTTGAGACTATCGCTAAGCTTATTCATGGAAATCCCGTATTTACAACTGTGAAAAGAAACTTCGTGGATTGTCTTTTCAAATTACAAAATTCTGACAATTCGATGCCAAAAGAAAAAATTATTTTGTATTATTATCGATGTGTATTTCTTATCCTCCCTTATTGTTCTATTGTGGTGTTTTATAGTCTACTTAAGAAAGACCTAAAATTTTGTCACCACCTGTTGATTATTAGTGTTGTGTCCTTGATACCCATTGAAAAATTATGTACAAAACTGTGCGACCTACACTTGTCTAGATGTGGAACGTTTGCACAGAAAATTCCCTCTGACCCCACTCATCGTTTACACGGCAGTCTATCCCAATGACGTATTCCTTCACCAACGCGTTCTGTATATCCCTCATTACCCTTGAGCATTAACTCCTACAGAAATTCCTATCTCGGTAGAATCCTTACAAACCGACAGCGGATTTCTTCCCAATCTCAAATGTAGATGGTTATTTGTTTACGTAAAATCTGTTCATCTAACTTCATCCTATGATCGGTAAAAATATGTTCTAGGTTCAAAATTTTAGCTGGATTAAATTGCATCCTCCGGATTGTCATTTTGTTTCAAACAAAACGCTTCTTCTCTGAAACCCGAAATTCTGTTGGCTTTCTGGTGTAACGGAGTAGGGAATGGTTTATGCATTAATTTTTCAAGACATTTTCTCTGTATATTTGAGTTTATTCCGTTGGGGAGAACCAACTCTGAATTCAGCCTTGAAAAGATTGTATCTCCTTTTCTCTCTAAAGTCAGTTCTTTGTTGGTAAACTGTGGTGAGCTAACCCTCCCAGATGATGCCGGTCAGACGACTGCGCATTCCACTTTCTGAGTATCAGACCAAAAGCATCGACTAATCAAAAGCCATACAGTTCAAACAGAAGCCGTGTGACCAGTAGAAGGAGAACGGTGATTGATTGATGTCCGTTTGTCCAATGACAATAGAGCAAGTTTTAAAAACGTTAAATGCTATCAATAGAAATAAATCCGCTGGTCCTGATGGGTTATCCCCAGTGGTCCTTAAAACATGAGCAAACCACCTCGCACAAACTGTTTATCTTTAATACATGTCGGTCAGAAGGAAGACTAGTTAACACATGGCATGATGTGCGCATCACTTCAGTACCTAAGAAAGAAAAGGGTAAGTTTCGGCCTATTGCTTCATCTTCATTATTACTTACGACTTTTGAGCGTATTATTATTAAGCACCTATCCTATAAGCTTGATTTTTTATGATTCCAATTAGTTTGCTTATTGTAAGCGTCGCTCTACTTTAGATGCGGTTGGTTGTCTTATATATTCTATTTTATCCACTATAGACCAAAAACACAAAATTGTTCACGTTTGTTTCTTGGACTATACAAAAGCGTTTAATTCTGTCGACAGAAACACCCCATNAAATAATCCCCCGCCACATCTTTTGAATTGGATGCACGACTATTTTATCGACCGACGCCATTTCAGTTGTCTCAACGGTATTAGGTCTTCTACTGTTACTGTGTAATGCAGGGTGCAATTTTATCCACTTTTCTGTTCTCCTTTTATATTCAAAATTTGCCAGTCACCCTAAATGTTTTCACTTTTAAATATGCCTATGGTATAGTGGTTGGTGGTGCATCTCACAACAACAACCCTTCAATCAGCCACAAGTTCCATTTCTGAATGGTCCGATTGTGTTAACCTTTCTTTTAACTCTAATAAATGCATTGAAGTTTTGTTTTCCATTGATCAACTGTTTCTGGATCATCTGTTCCCAATATCTTGATCAATAACTTAAAACGTAAAAGGCTAAAACACTTGAAATTTCTTGAATGTTTTGTGTCTGCTGACCTCAAATGGTCCTATCACGTAGAACAAACATTTCTTAGTCAGAAAGTTGACATTTTATATTTCACGCCTTCGGCATCTGAGGGTGACATTTTAAATATTCTCCAAATTTATTTTCTCATGCGTTTTATGCCATTGGACCTACTGCTATCCCGTAATCTTTCCTGGTCTACTGTCTAAGGATCCCATATTAATTAGACGCTCTCTGAAAAGCATCTCTAGATATGAAGCTGTATTTTATGCGGAGCTGGTTGATTCTATTGTCAACCAACACGTGAATGCGTGTGACCGTCTGTGTGACTCTATCTTGTCCGATGCGTCACATCTCTTACTCACAGCTCTATCTAGCTCCATTTCAACTTCTGTAACCAGCAATAGATTTAAACCTTCCTACCACTGCTTTTCACAACTCCGTTGTACCTTATCTTGCACGTTTGTTGGTTTCTAGGGAGCGAATATCAAACGGACTTATACACAGTCTAATGTAAATTTTCACGTTGAAATTTTCTTTATATTTTTACGCGTTCTCCGTGTCCTATTAATTATCATCTAAGTGACTATTTGTCACATCTTTAGGCTCATTTTTAATAGCGCGCATACCCAAGCAAAAGCGATAACATTCTTTTCACTGGAAATTCTATCCAAAGTGAATGAATAAAGTGTACTCTTGACTTGACTTGACTTGACTTGATTCATATTTCAAAAGCCTAAAATGATGCACTTGACAAAAGTTGCTGTCTCATCGGTTCTGATGATCCAACGATCGATGCCAGTTCAAGCATATTTTTTTATTTCTAAACTATTCTNCCAACGATCGATGCCAGTTCAAGCATAATTTTTTATTTCTAAACTATTCTAACCGAACTTCGGATTGGTTCTTGAAACAGAACCCGCGCTATTTTAATTTCTGACAATTTGATAGCTGTCTTAGTTGATTGTCTAATTGTTTTCTATCCCATTGGAACGTCATGCACGTTTTTGATTGAGAGCCATTTGAATAGTAACCAGTATACTTGAATTAGTTTCTACGAGTGTTTTCCGGGGCAACTTTTCTCATAAACATGGATTTTCTATTTAAAAATTCACGTCATTTGAATCTGAAAAGAATTTTCATCAGAACCAAGACAAATCGTGTAGATTATCATATAGATGTTTTGCAAACTTTCGTGAAGTTAAATGCTGCAGCGATTTTCGTATGAGTGTATTGTCGCCATTTTCAATGTAGTTTAAGTTCCACCACTTGTTGTTTGCGACTAGTTTTCAATAATTCATCTCTACCGATGTAATTGATTACTTGTACTGTGCTTGGAGTGCTTAATTCCGTAATTCGAAACAGTTGCAAATTCTCAATTCTTCATCATGTTGAGAGGCACTGAATTAGGACTTCAAATCAAGGAATAAATTGATCACCGTAATAAATGAACATAATCGCAAAGATTCAACACTAAACAAGGAATTTTCTATGCACTTCCTATTCTAAAGTGTATATGAAAATCGTCCGATTTGAAATTGCAACCTAATTAAGTTAATTTAACTGCATCCACCATATTTCGATGCTTTCGTTAGTTAACATCTACCATAAATAGACGAAACAGGTTTTCATAGGTTCCATAAAGTGCCAATTTTATGGATTAAACAGTATATTTCTCTTTCTCTAGGCCACCCTAAGGCAGAAGCCAAGTTCCGACTGTTTGAGCGTTCCTATACAGTTTTGGCTGTTTATTCGCAGAATTTGAATTCGTTCCTTTGACTCTCTCTCTCTCACTCTGCATTGATCTTTTTGTCCCAGATTACGGCTCAAGATGCAGCTTTTGACAGGAAACTCCTAACAGTTTTGCGTTTGGTTATCAATAAGAATTCCTTCCTCTATAGCGCGTTGTTTTCCGCATCGCATTTGCTCTTTCTTTATCCAGGTACTCTTGATAGATTCGCGCCACCAAATCGAGCACCGCCTAAGTTCGATACGGTGGATATCTAATGTTACGTGTAGTGCCACAAACTGACCCATAGCCCTTCGAGTATGGCAGCCGAACCTCGGCACTTGTGCGTAAGTTAGTGTAATATGTATATGGTTTGTTGACAGAGCTTTTGAGGCAATCAGTTAATGGTATCGAGTTGAACGCGGTAATCCCTCAATTAATAACGTCAGAGAAGTAGACAGATCATGTGCTTTCATGCCGTAGGTCTAGATTCACCATCAGTTTGAAGAAAAATGGATTCACTCTCACCCGAAAAGAATTACAGAATTAAGCTACTTGTTTCTCAATAAAGTTTGTTGAAATAATTCTCTTACCTATTGTGGTGAACAAGGTGAAACAATAGTATATGCTTCCCCATATAGTCCATTTTGTCGGTTGCTCTACAGTTAGTTCATCCGTTCCAGATTGCCAAGCTTCGTATAACTTCTCTCGATATCGATCCACCTGGGCCACAAGTTTTGACCAGTCCGCATCCGGTCCTTTTCGAGCCAACTGTTGTGCCAGGATGAATATTTTCTGTTTTGTCTGTTGGACACCAAAACACAAGCCAGCAGAACGCAACGGATACGTAAATGCAGAAAAAAAACGAATCTATCCAGTGTGATTGAACTTTTTGAAAACCGCTTCTTGTAGAAGTATGTGATGGTTTGCTTGATATCATTATCCAAGAAACTCTGTGAATTTGTGTATCAAACATTAAAGGATGTAGCAATGCAGCCAGTGCACAAACACCTTTGACATAATAAAACTGTACAATTTGATATAATATTTTGAACAAAAATAATTCTAATAAAGAAGCCAAAAACACAGGTTTGCACCTTTGTATCTTGGATCATTTCGCTGCATCTGTACACGTGCATACTGCAGTCTGTGTGATCATTAATATATGGTCAGTAAATAACAGAATCATAGGCCATATATTAATGATCACATAGACTGCAGTATGCACGTGTACAGATGTAGCGAAATGATCCAGGATACATTGTGCAAACCTGTTTTTGGCTTCTTTATTCAAATTCGTTACGGGGAAACTATGCTTCCAAAAATAATTCTGTTGGTGCACTATGTTTTTATTTGAATAACGAACAGTGTTAACGTGTAATACGTCGAATTCTCGGTTGGCCACCTTGGTCCTAATCAGCACCTTTTCAGTAGGTTGCATTTCATTGTGGAATTATGAAGTATTTCGACTGTTGCTTATAAGCACAATATTTTTATCGCATGTTCCACAATCATAGGTGATGATCAGTAACATTATTTCGTACGATCACTGTGAAAGTCACTTCGTTAAAACGATAATAACTTTTCTTTTAAGGATTTATTAGCTTAGCTTTCTAAACGAATTCATCAAACCATCTACCTCTCTGCTTTGCTTAAGTGAACCATAAAACTAACTTGAGAGGAGGATAAATTTGAATAGCTTCTATTGTTTTGTGTACTTTCCTAGTCTCCTCGATCGGTGACATTCAAGTCCGTCGCTCCGGACAAATAAGAATCAAGTTGACTTGCACATTAACAATGATATTTGATCTTTCAGAGCAGTAAAAGTCATTATTTTTAATTTTTGATCCGTTGTTTAGGTTTCTGTCTCGCTCCTGTAACTATTAGTATCGGTTTATTACTCGTAATTGGATTTAATTGATTCAACTTTGAATAAGATGATACACCTCGGGCACAAGTTTATACTTTACTGCTGTTTTCCTTCTAGAATAGTTGTGCCTAACCGTCATTGGGTGACAAACAGATGAGAACAGATATCTGCGCAGAGGCTACCGGACCATATTGGCTGTAACAGAAGACAATACAATGAATGAATTCTCACATTGCGACCTTAAATAATGAAGTCACTGTAGATCATATAAAACAGCATTATCTTTTCCCGTATTGCTGCTCACCTCTGTTATAACAGTGAACTGGAGACTAGGATAGTCTTTCCAAAAAGGTCTCAAAACGTCTACGTAGCGTCGTTCCTTTCGAACGGAAATAATGATTTCGAAGAAAATAAGATGGAAAAAATGTTAGAGAGAAGCCAAAAATAAATAAAATATGCTAAAACCCATGTGGTTGATTTCGTAAGCTGTCAGGCTGTCTGGATTTGTTAGATTCTCTCGAATCAGAAAGTGGCGAGTGCATCTATGTTACACCTTGTCACATCTCGCAACAAGAGACCAAAGACATCATCCTAAACAGCTTTCTAACTGTTTATTTCAAAAACTGACCGAATTAATGAATTTTGTGAGATTTATGGGAGTACAAGTGGTTCTGGCTGGAGGCAGCACAACAAAATTTTAGGATTTATCTGTTTTATTTTTTTGTTCAATCCCAAAAACAGAAGTGTGAAATGATTATGTTGTATCTCTAGGATGGATAATGTGGCTACGGAATTTTTTATTGTGCTTTATTATTCTTCAAATATTGCCATTGTGCTGAATAACATTGTCCATTGTGCCTATCGCCAATCGTGTTAAAGAACTCATTAAGTACCAGGCAGGTTTGAATTTGAAAGTGTCAAGACATTGCTATGAATTTTGGTTATTTCGGTTATTTCTGATGAACCTGCATGTATTATCTTGACCGGAAATTTTTTGGACTTCATCTCACTTCATTCAGTCGGTCAGACACTGAGGAATTCAGATAATTCTGGACTGACCGGTCAACACGCACTACTGCGAGGCTCTAAAAGGAGCGAAGCTTAAGTCTAGTACATCCAGAGTACCTGGTTCATTGGATGAAATGATGACTGTTGCAGTCGGAAAATTAAATATTTCTAAAAAGTATCAGCTATTTCACAACACTACTCATGCATAGCTGTGAGCTGAATGCGAATTGAAGTGGCATATCTTAATTATGGCGTTCAGATGCTTTCCTCCAAACTTCTGAGTACATACTAGGAGAACTTTTAGTGCAGAACACAGTTTAGAACAACTAACTTAATAATATTATTAAACAAGAAGGAAAGTGAACAGTAAATGAGGTTCTGCTGTCCATGTGAAGTGATCGACGCAACTGACAAATATATGCAGTCTGGGAAAATCGCGACGAAAAACTCCCGATGATAACTGCCCTGGGCCGTGTTTTGTGAACCGAAATCAATTTTTATTTTCGTGAAAAGCAATAAGAGAATATTGATTTTCATGTCCTTCCTAATTCTGTGCACTAAATGCTGATACAATCACTAAGTATTCTGATCGAATTCGCTGTTCGCTCAACTGGCAGAAGAATGTAAATTAGCCAGCAAAGTACTGGTTAGAACTAACTATAAACTCCCAGCAAAATACTAGGCAACAACCCAATCGTCAAGTAAAATTGTTATTTTATGCAATTAGCGTCTGTTTTAATGATAGCTTTTTTGCATTATTGCTCGACATCAATGTCCGAATCACGCATAACGGTCATGCTCCCTATCTGGGTATTTACCTGAAACTCATCGAGTTATTGTGCAAAACAACCAATAAGCCACACCTGGAAAAGTCTGTTTAATGCAAATGGTAATAGCGAACGTTTCCCTATAAAACTGTTGATTTTGGTATGCGGATGGTATCAAGTGAATAAAGAATACGGAACGTGAAAGAATTTTTTCGAGTGGTAACTAACGAAGGTGATCCGAAATGAATATCCAAACAAATACACTTTGCTAGCGATTCAGTTAAGTGACAAATGTTCCAAATTTTGTTCTGAAATCATGCTTTTATTAATATTGTGGAATAAATCTTCATCTAAATTTCAATATTTACACTAATTGTTGAGCTTCATTGATATTTGTGGAGAGAATGGAACGACAAATTTTATGGATTAAATGTTTGACTTGGTGACCCTAGGATGAAGTCACAGAACACGTTCGGCTGGAAAAATTTCGGTTGTCTATCTCGTTCTGTCTAGATTTATGGATTGAATATGACCAAAGTTTCTAACTGATAATATCTAATCCACGATTAGCATTGTTTAGCAACTGGAATGTAGTGAACTGGTTCTTCCGCAGCTATCATGAGTTATTTGGGCCGAGTACTCGTTTCCCTCATATTTTATAACTTTCGAGCTGTGGTGACCGGAAGTAGAATCACTATTCCAAAAGCATTCTTACAAATTTCACTATGATCAAATGGTTTCCCAACGTCCGGCAAACGAAGTATTTCAATTCGCCATCTAAATTCGTTCAAGCAATATCGCACATGCCTCAGGCACACGATTCATGATAAATTCGGTCAGTTCAACAGAAGTTTAAAGCTCAACAGAAGTCAAATATACTACGCTTTAGTTTGTCTGCTTCCATTTGATTGCTAATAACGTGGCCCAATTATTAAGTGCAAATGAGCGTGCTCATGGACTCGATCGGTAAGCGGAAAACACACGCTTGCGTTCTGCATGCTAGATCCCTCCATTATTTCTCTGATGGATCAACGAACGTCTGCTGTTGGTGGTCAGACTGGATTGCTACCATTTTGTTAATATTTGTAGCTTTTTGTTTTTATTTTGTTTTTGATGAATTTGTATCGCAATTGTGAGCAGTCATTGACCCATTCCGTTCGACTGGCTATTTCCGGTATTCCTATATTAACTACTAAATTGAAGCGAGTACCTGTTGTACCTAAATCAAAGTGAACCTGACTGACTTAGTCTAAACGAATTATCGATCTTTTTCAACTGTAAATAACCTACTTTTCTCAATCGTTTGGGTGCTGCTCCTATGTGGACTCTAGCCATTGAACAAAGCATCGTATTTACCACAAAAATAAAACACCTTCAAAAGTAAGTTTTCGTAAACATTTTATCTATCAGGGATAGTGTTAAGGTCGACGCCTTGAAAATAGAAATTACCCCCAATTTAATCTCATTGTTCTCGTGTGTAAGGGTTAGTGCGATGGGTATTCGAAGACCTTGGGTCACATGAAGCGAAAGATGGCTGTCTGATACAATGTGTGTTTAAAAACACGCGAAACATTCAATTAACTTCACAATACCAACTACTTGCTGAAGATTTGTATTTTTTATCATATTTTTGTGATCTGCCTTGAACACGAATATTCATGGATTTTTGTGACAATGAACGGATTTCGTCTAATCTTTTACTTCTTTTCCTGCATAACTGCAAACAAACCTCTTAATAAAAGTTATTTGTACAATTGTCTATTTAATAAAAGGCTATAAAAAGATTATTGGTAATATTGATTTGCATATCCCACTGTCCGGCGAAGCAACAACAGATTTATCCCCGAATCTTCAGCAGTATTGCTCATCCGCAGATATAGCAACTGTGGTTCATCAAAAGCTAGCACTAAATTGTCGATTCTACTGATCGCAAGATCTATATTTTTCAGTACCATGATAATTTGTGATATACTGGATTAGAGCAAGTTATATGTCGTCATCATAACCCTTCAGGGAATACATATCTTTTAATTTATCACGCAGTAATTGCCTGCACATGGTCTAGAAATTGAACTGTTTCCGTTGTTCCAATGGGTTTTCTCATGATTTTTTTCATTTGCGTTGCTCAATTGAACCGTTGTATTTCTAATGCGGCAAGAAGGTTCAAACATACTTGTGACAAGTGAGGAGGAAGATGAGGGAGGAAAAAGGCTTGAGAAAGACAGAAGGCCTCAGAGATTGGACTAAAAGTTGGATGTAATGAGTAGTGTTTTCTCGGTAATTCTTCAGTAAAACAGATACTGAAAAGAAAGGAAGAGTAAGAGAACTCATTCAGATCCACATAAATAAGCGATTTCAATGCAGCTTTCATAGAGCATTGAATATTGTTTAAACTGTGAATAAGTATTGAAATTTGGTTCCCGTAGCTCGAGTGGATTAATTTTACGTTCACGTGTTCACCACGCACCGATGATGCCTACTTGACTGACGCTGGAGTGTACTTGCAAACAAATGGCCAAGCGGGGCGAACAGACGAAGATAATTTGGGGATGCTAGTCAATAGAATACACCGAATAGCTATTTCATTCGTGCGGGAACTACTCAGCGGTGCCCACCACGGCCGGACCTTCACATTTTGGTTACATCACGCGTTTCTCACCAACGGATTATTGTCTTTGTGTCCTTGTTGATTTTTTGCCTCATTTGCAAGAACTCCTACTTTAATTGTCATGTCTTGTTTCATCCAATACTTCAGTGTCTTTATGAAATCTCTAAAGTAGTTCCATGTGAGCCTACCGGTTCCGTTTGAACGATCGACAAGGAGCAAAACAAAAGAAACATTCTGGCTAGAGAGTTGTTCTTCATAAACAAAGCACCGTTCGTAAATAAGAGATTTTCTCTCGACTATTCATTCACGGTAATGCGAATACTGTCCTAACTTACCCATTTGAGATTCTGAACAACTTTCTGGATACCCTATCTACTACACTGGTCCATTCTCTTTACTAAGACTGCAAAAATTCACTAACCTCAGAAGTATTGGAACCCACGCACGAACAGTGAAGGGCACGCGCTCTACTAGCAAGCTGAGCGACCAAATGAAACTGACATCACTGATTTTTCCACAGTCGGGTTCAAATCCCATCAATGCCTCCGGAACTTTTTAAAATCCTTATTTACTTGTCAAATAGAATTTAGGGCCATTTTAATAAATTTTATACCCGTTTTCTAACTACCTTGGGATTTCGGATACAGTTACCTCGTTCATCTGATTTGATGCATATATGAGCTCAGTCTTGGTCAACCTTTGTTTGGCATGTCGTTCTCCGTTAAGGAAACCCTATGGACCTGTGCTAAACTTTTCTGTTGCTGTTTGCAGCTGAAGACTCTGTGGCTACCACTCTACAGCTCACCCCATTAATCATACGAGATATAATGAATCTATCTAACCCTCTTGCGTTTTCACACTATAAGCCCTATGATTTTGTGTTCGCTTAACAAACTATTTACTTCTTTATTGGCATATGTTTTGCCTTAAAGGCCGTATGTTTCCAGCCAGATCTTTTCACTTGCCACACATTGAACAACTTTGTCGCAGAAAGGAACTTAATATCAGAATGTGCAAGCAAACAGTGACGCTTAGCCTCACAAAATCCATTAGGGAAAAGCTTTTATATTCAAATTCAAATTACTAATTTTGGTTAAGTTACCAAGCTGATACCTGTTGAATCCTATAGGATCAGTGTACACTGAGTTTGGTTGGTAGTGCAACTAAACAACAAATTAACACGTTCAATCACGGTGCTGAACAGATAGATGCTTGAATGCTTCATCAGGCCGTAACTTGAATGAATCCTTGGTTAGAAGATACTTTGAGGTATTACATACTCTGAAGTTGAAACGGTGACGTCTGCAGTCAAGCAGACTCTTTTGGAGCAAACGTTGAAATGGATGTCCCCTGAGGTGACCATTCCTGTAGAATAGAGCACTACGCGGATGGTTAGGTTAATAAGTTAGTTTATTTATGAAGGCCATACCACCTCGTATTCGGTTGTGTTCAGATGAATATAGTTCGAGGATTTGCAGACTTTTAACGTTAGCTTGGAATTCTGACCCGTTGACCATTTTGGTTCCCATTCTCTGCGGATGTTTCAGAGCTTTTTGTCACGAATCAGCTAGGGATTTCAAACTTGGATGGCAAATTCCGTCTAATGTATACTGATATCAAACAGATCAATATCCAAAGGCACGTTTTATTAGTCCAACTTGTTTTAGGGCCGTTGGTGACAATATGTAAAATATTCCGGATTCTCCCTGTGACATAATGATACAACCTTACATTTCTCAACATTGAATTCAATGTCATTAGTGATAGATCATCGATCAGCTGCGTCGAGTGTTTCCTGAAGTATTTTTTTAATCTTCAGGATGTTCTATTGTTTACCGCGTTTTGGAGTCATCCAAGAGCAATAGTCCTTTTACATCAAGGACATCGCGTATATCGTTTATGAAGGGTAGGAAAAGTGGGGACCAAATACGGATCCTTGTGGAATTCCATGGTCAGCTTCAATTGGTCTCGACAACGAACCATTAACTCGGGCTAATACGGTACGCTGTCTCAGAGATTCCTCAATCCAATCATGGAGCAGTCCTCAAATACCGCAGTTATAGAGCCTTCGCAGCACTTTGAAAACCAAAGTAGCCATGAGTCCTGGCAGGCCCTTGCGCAGAGTTCAGTCATCATATCCCCCAATACCGAACTCCTGTGAATACAGATATCCGGACTTAATTCGTATTCCCGGCCGGCTTTGGAGAGCAAGTCATGTTTTCATGGTATTCAACTTTTAGTCACACAGCTCAGGAGTCCACGTTTCGAGTCAATCCACGACACAAACATGGTGCACATTGACGACGAATCCGAATAACGACACGGCAGCTTTTCATTATTCTTTGTCGTACATCATAAATGGACTCGCACCGCAGATAAGCTTAATTTGTGTGTGGGGAATGAATGAACTCTTCATAACTGAGACCCATACAAGAATGCAATGCATTAGCCATGTCTAGGGTCTTTAACCTGGCGAGAACAAATCAAGACAACGTTGGATTGATATTACACTTATGTTTCAAACTCAAAGCGCATGAGATGGGGGAAACTTATGCCCGATATGCTTTCAAACCCCACAGAACTCCCCAGACTGCTTCAAATTAGGGTCCAAATGAACTTCATTATACTCTTATTATTTGAAGCTAACTCTTTATGGAAACTGATGATAATTATGAAAGCCAGTGCCCCTTCAGGATTCATTTTCATCCTTATTGGTTTTAGCTTATTCCTAAACGATGAAGAAACAATCGTAGTACAATAACTTTCAATTACAATCGTTTTATAAATATTTCAATCGATTATGTTTATCGTTTATCTTTCACTATAGTGAATATTATTAATCATTTATTTCAACACGTAACCAGTTACGGAGAACTGGCAAAAGTGCCACAACATATGAACAAACAGAAATCTGAAGTATGTGCTCATAGGTTGTATGGGCATGTTACTTCCGATTGCTCTGGCCGAGGACGGAGGATAACCGAGGGATCCCCAACCGAAGCCTTTGGCTAGAAAGCCAGACCTGTAAGACAGCAGGACGGAGCTCAGATTCCGCAATCCATTGGGGACCGTTGTCCAGTTCATTGGGTCATACGCCCTTTGGACGGGGTCAAACGTCCCAGGTGCCCAATACACCACGATGCCCAATTGAGCCTGTGACTACTACTGCAACTAAGAAGGTGCGTGTGGTTCCTACGCCTCTTCTTGGTTGGTTTTGGATCAGGATTTTTAGCCAACTCCCTTAGGTTAACTGCCAATGGTTCACCAGCCCAGTTATAGCCCAGGATCTCGGCTTTATGTCCTTTGAGTTTGGTGGGAAGAAACCTCCGTCAAGGGAAGGAAGTGAGTAGGGCTTCCTCAGCAGAGGCTATTCGAGATGCTTAGTCATATAGGTGCATTTCACGAGGTGTAAGGGAATGGTGACCAGTCACCATCTCAAACACCCACCCCGACCATACAATGATATAAATCACAGGAAGTGAAAAATCGGCCAATCGGAAGACTGTCATCCAACACCCAGAAAATGGTGATTAAAGCGGTGGTGGTGGGATTCTCACACACTTCCTTTCGGATGATAACCGCTTGACTACCACCGCCCATTTCGTGTTTTACAACACATCTGCTTTACAGCGTTCTTTTTCTTGTCCTAATCATTTGTTTATTTGAGTTGAGTGATTAATGTTTTGATTGGACTCGGTGAAAAAGTTCGAAAAGATACACTTCAGGCTCGAATAAGCAACCTTACTAAGTTCAGCTCAGTAAGCTTTTAGTCCTTATTTGATTGTCTTTCCAAGATTATCATGGACACACTTGCTTCTACGATAATTCGTGTGCATCATCACTCGGAGATCAGGCATTTTTTTCGAAACTCGCTCCTGTTTGCAGGACTCTCCCAAATCACGACTGTCATCACCGAACAGTACCAACTATTTCCAATATTTTTTTCAACATCTCTCTGCAGTTCATTCAGACTCGATTCTACAGGCCCATCTCCTCTGTGAGAAAAACACCGGAGAAACCACACTGATCGACTGATCAGAACTGAAATTCAAGGCCATTCGTTTGTCGACGAGACATTGTATATTCAGAAATTCTATTACCATTAAAAATGGTTTACACTAAAAAATTCCGTGGCTTTCTCTCTGGTTTGGGATCGCAAACAGCTCAGTGGAAAACACTTTCCAACACCGTTCGCAAATACAGAAGAAATCGCCCTGTTCTGACCAAAGTCTGGCTCTGTATTCACCGACTGCATACTCGTTTAATATATCTGATTTCAAAAACAATGCACTTATGGGTGCGTTATCCTTCAGATTTTTGGCATGCGTCTGTGTATCAAGTACCCCAGACGGAAATTTTCGATGAAAAACAACAAGACTAAGACACATGAACTTGGAATAGCAGACATCCCGTTACTGCAAACGTTCAGGACAACCCTCATGAGCCACTGAGCACGTGTGCAATCCACCATAGACAGCAATGGTGCCACAGTAATGCTGACTCACTAACCTTCGAAACGTGAATACGTGAGTGCCGTTCATTGGGAGATTCGAGTTTCTGGAACAGGAACGCACCCACAAAGGTTATCAGGATCAGAATGAATATCAGACCCGGTAGAGAATTGAGAAAACGGCCTGAAATAAGAAATATAGATGGAGAGAGAGAGAGATAATATGAGAATGATGAAAGACAAATAAAATCAGCATTCAAAAATACGAATAAAAAATGTTCTTTGTAACACCACGTTTCGTAAAGTAATATACTGAACCAAAGAACTGGGAAAAGGACATTTGAATTCATTTAAGCCTATAGCATCAGTTGAGTCTGAGTCAACTTACCTCCATCTGGATTAACCAATGTTTTTGTGGAGTGATCGAGGAAAAACCAGTACAACATTCCTCTCTTCTCCTCATTCAACCACGCTTTGCGTGTATGAATTATTATCGTACTTTGTCATCTGCTTTTCTAATTTATCTTATCACTTTTAAATCTAATTACATAAATCGGTTGTCCACCATCTTATTTAAATGATTTGTGGCAATCTTTACCTTTCTTTTTTTCGAACCAATTCACAGAAAATCAGTTCCGATTAAAAATTATATTTATATTATATACAGTTTTATTTAGTCAAAACAACCTTTGACGTTCATGACACAGTAGGCTACCCGGTCGTGGTAACAATAAATTCTGTTTTTTTGCAGCCCTCGTACTTCGAATGGGGAACTCCGTAAGAGAATTTTGTTGTGAAACTTTCATCATCGCACTGGTTTACCAACGACTATCATGATCTACAAATCAATTTGGCAAAAGCACTTTGCCCAAACATTTTAGTGTTACAACCACGTTCATTGCTCTTACCATTTCAAAGCTTCGTGGGTTACAAGATAATGTTTAGAAGGTTATGTCCGAATGGTCACTAGGCCATGGGCAGATTGTCTGTTTTATTTATGCTCACACACATGCGTACATATATCCCATAAAACAACAACAACCGGATATAGCCCTATTTCGTACCATACAAAGAAAAGGGAACATCTACTGGAAAGTGATGCAGATGTTGCCGTCTTTTGAGTTACATCACACTTCATACTCCCGTTTTTCGATCATGTGCACCGTAGACATGTACGTTTGAACAAGCGCCATGGGTGGTAACCTGTGATCCCCAATCGGAATTGGAAGCATGAAGCTGTATTCAGTCATTAAAGAAAGAGAAGGCTGCCGTACCTGATGGGTTTCTCCCTATTCTTTTCAAGATGGGTGTTGATTCTCTTGTCCACTCGATTACTACTTCTACTTCGCAGCATTTGGTCGGAGGAGCGTATCCCCTTGTCCCGGGGTCAATTGTTGATCGTCCCGAGGTTCAAGAAGGGATCACGCAACGACTGCGCAAACCACCGCCGGATTAGTTTAGTTCCAATAATCACAAAAGTATTGACTTCTGTGATACTTCGTCGCCTGATACCTTTAGGAGAGATGAATATCCGCGAACAGCAAACCGGATTCCGACCAGGTCGTGATTGCATTGACCAAATCTTCACTTTGCGTCCAGTCCTCACATTACGCCACACCTATCGTAGACC